GTCTCAGGGGCGGGGGGGGGAGGCATTTCGGAGGGTCAGTGCTTCCGAGGAGCCCAGCACCCTGGGCAGTCCGGCAAGAGGTTTGTTGGAGTCACAGACAGTGCCAGGAAGATAAAAAAGCAGCTTTTAAATAATCATTTTGTCTTTCCCTTAGCTGAGCACAGCCTTCCAGGGATAAATAGGCAGCATCAGTTCTGGTTAGACACATTGCCCTTTCCATCTATTTACTTCCTAGCCTTATTCCTAATGAGCAGCCAAGGTCTCTGCACGGTTCCCGGCTGGGTTTGGGTGTCTGCTGTGGGAACATACGTCCATTGGGATGCTCGGGATGTGCACACTGGTGTGTGCATGTGGCACGGTAATAAAGCTTAGGGGTTATACAGAGCTTTTCATCAGGAAGCAGCTCTCTAAACATAAACTAATTAATCACTGGCGCCTACCTGTCAGGTCAATGATTCCTGAGATTTTTAATCTAAAAATATTTTCCTTTTGAAATCCAGATGCACCTGTTTTGGCAACTCCGCTTTTGATTTGTTTGTTTGAGGTTTTTTAATTTTTCTTTTTTTTTTTTAACCTGTGTTGCTTTCCACTTGTGTTTGGGCTTTTGATGTGCTTTAATTTAGTGCGTGGTTTTTTGGTTTTGTTTTGGGTTGTTTTTTTTTTCCGGGAAGAAGAGGAATTTATTGTCTTTAATTTTCATGGCAATTTTCTCTCCCCCCTGTAGCCTGTCACCTCTCCTCTTCTTAAGGATATTGGCTACTTTTACCTCTTGTTTCAGTTTATGGGCCACAGACCTCAAATCATTTTCTCGACAAAGTTTGTCCTCTTCCCTCAGATTTATTCACTGGTGAAGCATGTGGTCAGGTGCCAGTGGTGCCGTGGGAAGCCTCTTGCAGTGGGGGGAGATGCTGATCCTGTCTCCTTGGGGCTCAGCAAGTGCACCCAGCTCCAAATTTGGCACTCTACCCCCATCCCTCCATAAACAAACAGTCTTCCCTAGCATGGAATTACTTATTATTAGCTCATCTTTTTGGCAAATGGACTGTTGTTGGGCTTTTATGTATCATTTTGTTCCCCCTGAACTTTGCTCCTTTGTTGACAATGAATGTCTAAATCACAGAAAGCGCCAATAAATGCTGGAGTCCCAAAAATAAGGATTTCAGCAGATTTTGAGGCTTTAAAAGAAAGTCTTTATAGTGTTAGCTAACCTCTCAACAGGGTCTTTTACTTCCATTTTATACTGATAATAGCTATGTCTTTAACTTATTTCAGAGTGAGGGAGGCTGTACTTGACATTTGCCTGCATTTTTCAGCTGCTCCAGTTTACTTCCTATTGTCAACTGATTTTAGACTTGCACTTGTTTGTGCTGTGGATTTGGGGGGTCAAATTCGTCTTGGGTGTAAGTGGGCACGGCTCTATTAAGATCTCCACATTACCCAGCTCTGGATGTGCACAAGTGTGTGGTGGGGGGGGGTTGGGCGTGTTTATAAAGTGCTTTGAGCTCCTGTGCCAGATGAAATGGGGAAATACAATTAATTTCTCTTAAGAAATGCCTGTTTGTTCATTCATCAAGGATTTATTTTATTTACTTTGCAGCTGTGCACAGCTGTGCATGCAGAAATGTCACACAGGGACACTTAGGTCACCTCCATCCTTCTGACCTGGGACATTCCCAGCAGGCAGGATGCTCCCATGTGTTTTTCCAGGAAAGCCCTCACAGGAGAAGGACTTTTACTTGAAGCAGTAATTGAGGCAGGGAGTACAAAGAGGGGAGCAAATTTGTCTCCTTGGAAAGTTGCTTCAGGAGGATTTATTGTTGCCCCTTTCATTAGCATGGTTTAGACTTCACTGGAACGTCTGGGTTCTAAAAGAAAACCCAAACCTCAACATTTTCCAAAGAATAAAATCTATTTCATACATGTTTTTACTTGCTTTTCCACTGTATGGCTAAAAGCATGGCCTTGCAAGCACTCTCCATCTGTATTTAAAGATGGAAAAACTGAGGCATGGTTAGCTCTGGGCTCTGTGTGTCTTCCTCTACCATCTGGGTTTGATGGCTGATGCAAATGGTGCGGTATCAGGCTGCAAACTACTTGTTAGTTGATGTGAGGAGACCCCTGGGTGATCTGAGGTCTGGGCTAGAGACTCCCTAGCCAATGCTTGGGTTGGGATAGAGTCCCTGTCATTTCTGGCAGCAAGAATGGGTACATTTATTGGGTTTTTGATCAATTATAGCAGTTTTGCAGTGTGTTTGAACACAAATCGTGGCTTTCTGAGTTACCTCTGTGGTGAACTCTCTGGCAGTTCTGCCCTACTTCCCTGCAGGAAGGAGGGGAAGAAGCAGGGAGGGGAGCAGGAAGCTGCAGTGTTCCCCTCGCTGCTGCTTGGCTGGAGAGCCTAGGAGCTGTGCTTGGTGATAAGCACTTGGATGCAAACTGCCTGTTGGAGTACCCTTTCTAAAGGAAGAAAAGCTTGGTTGATGGGGACTGAGCCCCGCTGGTCCAACCTAGGATGAGCATCCCCTTTTAAATGAACATCCCTTTCCGCAAATTAAGACCCAGGCACAACTCAGGCTTTCCTCTCCACTTTGTGTCTCCCACAGTGCTGAGCATCCGAGGAGCACAGGAAGAGGAGCCCACGGACCCCCAGCTGATGCGGTTAGACAACATGCTCCTGGCTGAGGGGGTAGCAGGCCCCGAAAAAGGAGGTGGCTCTGCTGCTGCTGCTGCCGCTGCTGCAGCATCAGGAGGAGCCGGCTCTGACAACTCGGTGGAGCACTCTGACTACAGAGCCAAACTCTCCCAGATCCGGCAGATCTACCACACGGAGCTGGAGAAGTATGAGCAGGTAACAGGCTCTTTCGTGGCAGAGGGCAGGGCTGCCTGGTGCTAGTGGTGGTGACGGCATGGTGGGAGTAGGAGATGAGCGGCTGGGAGAGCAGCTGGAGTGGATGTGTACAGCCTGGATCTCTACTGACATCTATTGTTAGGAGTGTACGGGCAAATGCAGACTGTACTGGAGAGAAAACACGATTTTTTAGGGTTGAAAGAGCTGGGGTTTTGCACTGGGATGTGGCACAAGAATAGGCTTGTCATGGGTTGCCCGTTTGATTTTCACTTTTCACTCCTCCCCTAATATCTTGCCAAAAATTGGCCCTCTGAAGGGGGAATCCTCTTTGAGGTGCTGGCCTCAGTGCAAGCAGTTTTCCAAGCAGGGCTTGAATCAGAATCTTCCTTGAATACTTTTTCTGCTTGAAGAGTTCATTTTCCAGAGGGGAGTAAAAGAAAAAAAAAAAAGTTTCTTTTTAATTGTGGAAAATGATTCTTAAAAAAAAAGAAAAACTATTTGGGTCATGAATGCAGCTATTGGTAACACTGACAATTGCATGAAAAGCTTTGCAGGCTGATGCTCAAAATAATTTTTTTTTGCAAAGACTTCCAGATGTTTTGCAGACCTCCTGTCACCACTGCGCAGCTTGCCTTTGTGATGAATGTGGTTTCTACCCCAAGGTTGCACTGGAGTGCAAGCAAGAAAGTATCCCTCCTTTTCGGGTACAGGACAGGCTCTGTGGCCAGGGGCCAGGCGGGGTTTCAGATGTCCGGTTTAACACCATCTCTGCTGATGCGATGGGACTGTGAGCAGCCTCCAGCCCAGCCCCCATTATACCTGGCTAACTGGACGCATGGTGGGGCTGGGAGATGTGTCACCTCTTTAGGTGCTACACTGGCCAAGCTGAGGCTGCTGGTCAGCATCTTCAGACCTGCACCCAGGGGTGGTGTGGAGCTGCCTCAGATGCCCCTGTGTTGGAGCTGGAATCAGAGTGGCCAGGTAGGGCTTTGGTATTGGAGAAGCTGATTGTAGTCATACCATGAAAGGCATTTTGACAGAACATTAGAAGAGGAGGAGGTGGCAGGGCCCAGGGAGCAGGCAGGGGGCAGGTTGGAAGGATGACCTTCGGTGGCTGTCCTCAGCCCTTGCTATCACTCCCTTGAGCCATGGAGATGGGCTGGTGTGGCATGAGAGAGCCTCAGTCTACTCATGTGGGTAGGAGTGGAGAGTGTCTCAGGGCTCATCTTTCAGCCCAGAGGCTGAAGAGGTGGGGAGAGAGACCCCATGTCCTCTGCCACCCAAGCCCGAGGGGAAACCCTTGGCACAGCAAGGGACACACTTCAGGGAAGGACCTTCTGCTCCTTCCTCCTCTTAGGCAGGAGTTCTGTTTGTTTGCTTTTCTGATTTTTTTTCTGCATCATTTTGGCTGCCCAAAGGGACACCCAGGTAAGAGAAGCCTTTACCCCATGAGTGAGGTGGGCCACATCTTTCCTTCTCAAAACCCAGTGAGGGGGTTGGGTTTGCCATTGAGTTGCTTTACAAATGGCCGTGTTGGTCCACGTCTCCTGTATCATCACCTACAGTCCTGCAAAAAAACAGGGTTCAGGGTTTCTCAACCCCCGCCCTCCTTTTCCAGTCCCATTCCTGGAGCCTGAGGGAGCTCGGTGCCTGCCTTCTCATGGCATCGGGCTGCTGCTGTGACAGCACAGTGCTCACTGGCAATTTTTCCTTTAGCGCTCTTTACTTCACACCAAAAGGAGACAAACTGAAACTGCTTGGGTGTCTGGGAGCAAAGAGGTACCCAGCTGAGAGCTCTCATAGCTGGTGCTTACCCTGGGAGATGGGAGCTGTCAGCTGAAGCTGGTGATGGGCAATTGGAGGGGCTCTGCTGGCCTTGGGGATATCTCGTTGGGTCTGAGCCATGGGTGGGGATTCAGTTTGGAAGGACTGGGTGGGAGATGGTAAGTCAAGACTTACATTGCCAGTTCACAAAATCAGTATTACTTTCCCCTGCTAGCCCATTTTTCTCCATCATGGGCTGGGAACTGGGGACACTGCCCCCAGAGTAGCTGCCTATGTCCCAGGAGCACTGAAGGCTTCTTGAGCCATCAGTGCAATGATGTGATTCCCAGCACCAGTGCTCCCTGGTTTTCGGGGCTTGGTGCTGGGAATTGGAAGATCGTGTCGTGCTCATGAGATGCTTGTGGGGATGGAGGAGAGGACAATGAAGTGGCCTCCATGCATCCTTAAAATCCCTCCCTTCACCCCTCAACTCCTCTCACTGCCCTGTTCTGACAGCACAGTATGGGGACAGCAGGAACAGCCAGACAGTGCTGAGCCAGCAGCAAACTAATTGGGATTGTTACCTGCTTGCCCTTACTTGTCAAGGCCACTGCCTCACTCAGACTTTAATTATTATCATTATTTACTTCTTATCTGATGTGCTAAGAGCACAGAGCTGTGTCTGAGACCTGCTCCATTGAAGCATGTGGTGCTGGGGTCCAGCAGGGGCAGCAGGAGAAGGGAGTGGGTCAAAAGATTCATGGTCCTCAGAGACGTCTATAGCTCTTCCAGTCCTATCTGAAAAAACAGTGGCTGGGACTTCTTCATGCTTTACATGAGTCCTAGGACTTCATGTGCCTCAGCTCCATACATGATCCCTGAGAGCAACAGAATTGGCTCCTGCGTTTCTCAGCATGTCTGTTGGGAGTCTCTCATGCCCTCTGCTTTCTCTCCCGAGACCCAGCACACTCTTGCTCTTGGTCTGCCTTAAAAAGCCCCAGCCATTGAGGTCTCCATTTTCATCTCCTTCCTTAGCAGCATTGCCTCTCTACTTGACGCCATCGAATGACCTTCCGATCCTGGGGTTTCTTTTGCTTTTCTTGCCATCCCAGGCATGCAATGAATTCACCACGCACGTGATGAACCTGCTGCGTGAGCAGAGCCGGACCCGACCTATCTCACCAAAGGAGATAGAGCGGATGGTGAGCATCATCCACCGCAAGTTCAGCTCCATCCAGATGCAGTTGAAGCAAAGCACATGTGAAGCTGTCATGATCTTGCGCTCCCGATTTCTGGATGCACGGTGAGTTCCCTGCACCAAACCTTTCTCCCCACCCACTGTGCAGTATTGTTCTGGCCTAGGAGAGGTGTTTTGAGGTGCTGGAGTGAATCGAGGTCCATATGAAGGACTATGTCTCTTGGTCTTGAGCCACAGAGGCCATTTACCTTCTTTATAGTTTAGTTGTCTGTGGCTCAGCAGGGGAGGGCATAGCAATTTAAGACATCCAGCCTCTGTCTCAGGGAGGGTCCCAGCTGTACCTTGAGAATTGTATGTCCTGGTTTTGCTGTGGCAGAATGGAATTCTGTGACATATTGCAACAAACTTCTGTGATAAAAATATGCATTTCAGTTAGGGATGAAAGCTAATTCTCCAGCTCATCCTATCCTATCTAGGTTCCTATTCTTTTCTTTCTATTTCCATTTTCAAAGGTTTTTGATTTGTTGTAGAATTATTTCACTGCCCAAGCTGGTTATATGCAGCCTGTGGCTTGGGCTGCAGTTTGAGATGAGGAGGAGAGGCAGTTACACTGGGGGATGAGGAGTCAAATAATGCCCAGGTGCAAATGGAGCAGTCTTCACCAAGGATATATCGCCAGCGCTGCTTTCTCAGCATGGAGCTTTGCAGAGTAGCAGTGATGTCTTTAGCCAGGGCAGCCAGGTGTTGAGAGTCACCTTTCCAGGTGGAGGAGGTAGGTGCCAGTTTTGAGACTCTTCTATGAGCTGGAGGATGCAGTGGTAATTTGAGATGGAATCTTGCTATGAAAGGTACTGAGAGAGGAGTCACCAGCAAGGTGCGGATGAGAAGCTTCCTGGCTATGAGTCTATTGTACTCCATGCTCCCAGGAGC